ACGGAGCCGCGGCGCTGGCAGGCTGTGCAGGCATCTGGCTTGTGGGAAGTTGGATAGAGTCCATGTAGTGGATCGTAGAGACTTTCACTTTTCAACATTCTAACGTTAATGATACCCAGTACGAAGTAGTCCAATTGTTCTGAGCTGACTCACGTCACACCATCACATGCCGCATAAAGCTATTGGCGAAGCATTTGATTGCTACTTTTCTACTGCACGTAGACCTCGCCAAGATGCAAAACTCAAAAGGTATCGTATGCCGTTCTCCGTGAGCCATGCTATGCACCGAAACTCCTCTAACAAAAATCAAAATGCCACTTCATTGCGATTTCAAAACCCACATGGCATCTTATCTCGCTCCACGATCTGTGAACTCCATGCTGCCAGCGAACGATGCTCGCAAAACTGTCACAATTCAGTGCTCTGACTCCGTCCTTGAGATGCGCACGCTCCGACTCTTCTAGATTAGGTTGTTATCCCCAGCGCTAGATCCACCATAAGCCATCTCCTTGAAGCCTGCAGGGACAGTCCAACCATGCACAGCGCAAGCACGCATATACGCCTCGACCGCTTCACCAACACCATAGTCCATTGGAGCACCTGCCTGTAGACGGGCGGGCTTGGGATCCAAGCTAGAAATAGCCATGCGGACCTGTAGAAGAACAGATTCAATTGAGGAAACCGCACTCCAGCCATCGTTGGTAAGAAGCTGCATGCACATGGCACCACCCGCGGTGACGTGACCACCTCCACCTTGTTGGAAGCCGAGGAAGCGAGGTCGGATGACGCGGACAAATGGTGGGCTCATGGGGTAGTCCTTACCGAAACGCAGCTCCAAAACGATGCTCTTGACGTCCTTGCTCTTCATATCTTTTGCAAGTGGCAGGGTGGAATCGAATGAGTGCAGCTCCACTATCCATTGGTAGATGTTGTCCATCTTGTCTTCGTCGATGTGCCAGCCGAGTTCGTGCGGCGGCTCCTTGTTCTGGATGTCGATGATGTCTTTAAAGTCCTTCATCAAACGCCTGGTAGCAGCAGTTGTTGCCCATGCAGGCATCTGAAGCATCGGCAGCTTTGTGTAATCCAGGGTGCCAGGCACGTAGTCGGTGAGAGGCTTGCTAGATGATGACCTGCCAAAAATCTTCGACGAGAACGACGCTATCGAGGCCATCTTCGACTTGCCCTTGTCGCCCATAATAGAGTTTGGTGTGGGTAGAGGGTCAACTTCTTGGACCGACTTGTGTTCGTCATCAGCCTCGAAAATGGTGCGGTCCTCGTCGAGAGTTGCAATACTGGCTCCGTCGTCATCGTCTTCAATTTCAATGGGATCGTACTGTGTCTTTCCAGAAGCTTTCTGCCGCTTGTGTTTCTGTGCATCTATCAGCCAAGGTCCAATTGTAGGTGGGGTACTATCTACCCGAGTAGCCTTCGCCTTAGGACGTCGAGAGGCAGCAATAGCATGGAGCGGTATGACGAGATTACCCGTTACACCACGAGGCGTGTGGCTTGGGTCCTGCTCCACGCATAAAAGCGGCTTGTTGCCTGGCTCTGTGGTTGTTGCAGTGTCTTCGCGTGATTTAATGAAGAGATATCGTGTCTGGATCCAATCGAGCTGAGCAACCACTAGATGCGGAGTTTGGCTCACAAACTCTGCCGGAGCATTGACAATTTCATTGAGAGCCAAAGTCTGTTGGACTTTCAGCTCGCTCATTGTCCAGGAAATGCCACCGAATGCGGAGTAGCCTAAGCTAGTATGAACATCAGGAGCGTGGTAAACACCATGTCCGTAGGCTCGACCGTGGGCAGTTTCCTTGAAGTGAAGTCCCTCCCGAATGATGGTGTGCCAGTTGTAAATAGGACTGCCATGCCATGCGAATAGAGTGGGATATTTGAGGCTAAGCCGCTGGGTTGTCTCTTGCACCGCATGGATAAATCGGCGCTCCTTGTCAGGAGCACCCATTGCAAACCGGAACTGCGCCCAACCTGCCATACCATATAGACGCTCCTCGGAACTACGACCATTTGATGCGTCTTCTTCGCTGTCGACCTGTAGAATGCAAGCCCGATTTGACGCGATCACCCAGCGCAATATCCCAAGAACAGCGGGGGATAGACGATCAACCCAAGTATTCAAGGTAGACTGTGACTTCCGTAGAAGATACTTCCTCATTTCTTGAACAGGTGGTAAGAGATCAAGCAGCGCCGCGATAGCCTGTGGCTTCTCTAGGGTACTCAAGTCATCGAAATTCTGGTTGTAGATATAAAAGCTTGCAGATCTGAACTCCGTATCTGAACCTGGTGGTGGAGCCAATACCTTCTGATATTGCGATGAAGCTGGGCGTGATATAGCGTATGGATCGTTCGGAACCCCTCCTCCAATTACTGGGATGATAGGACTTGACACCTTTACAGCCGGGTAAAGTGACGCATCAATCACGCGACAATGTAGCGTCTTGGTTGGGTTATCGTCTGTTCGGATCACGATCCACTGGCCGTTCGATACAGGACAGGTCTGCCTCGCATCATCGAATAGCATCTCAAGAGAGGCGGCTTTGAATCGCATACTCAAGGCGGCCGGTGGTGGCTCACTGGCTTGCGGAGGTACTGGTTGTGCAGTGTCGGCAGGGGACGCCCAGGTTCGTGGTAGTTGAACCGGGACATAATCCATATCGTTAGACACTGGAGGTGGAACGGCCAGGCTGAGACCGGTAGGGAATTCCCTAAGCCTGCCGCCACGCGCACTAGCGTAACAGAAGCTGACGAGCAGGTCAACAACTTTCGGCTGTGATAAGATCTCATGCTCAATACTTGGGCCGAAGCCTAGCGACATATACTGATATAGACATAGCGGATTGTCGCAGACATAAGGCTTGATCGCTTGTAGGTCGTCGGGCATCCTACTGAAGCAGATCAGACAGAACTCGGTACATCGAACGAAATGTCGTAGCACAAATTGCATCCCTACAAGCGGTAGGGAGTGCTCCTGGCCGACTGAAGAGGTAATGTGGTCATCAGTAACAATCTTTGGCCACGCATCACTAACCCGCTCGTCTTCGTAGTACTTGTCGTGCGATGCATCCTGATCCGTATGTGATGCGTTCAGGACCTGGTCGTTGTAAAATGACTCAGAGCCTTGCCATGGCATGCCTCCGTAACGATACTTTAGGAGCATGTGGAAGCGCTGCTCTAACAGCTCGTTTAGAGGTCGTGAGATGAACGAGTTTCGAAAGCCTTTGGGAAGTTCTGACGAGACATTCTGGGAATCGCCTTGCGAATCTTCCCGTTGCTTCTCCTCATCCTTGCTCAAGATTGTGAACGCTGATATCGCTTCTTGCATTGTTGGCTTATATGTCGTACAAACGCCGACACGGATGCCGAAACTTCGTCGAGCTTGCTGCGCATCGTAAGACCTCAAGTCGTCCATGCTCTTGTATCCTGACGAATATTGGAAGACTGCGACGAGGTACTCTGTCGGCTCAATTTGCCATGCTTGCATAGCCTCTTCCGAGATGCCGAGTTTGGAGATGCGGATGGAAAGAGAGACAAAACAACCAAGGCCGTCCATCAAGCCTCCAAGATGTCCAACCTTAAACCCTTCACTCTTAGCGATCAAGAGATCACTCCGGATTCGTTGTCGGAAGGCAGATGTAGCTTCTGTATGGCCACCACCCTGGAATGCGCTACTACCGTTTGCGAGCTGCGGCTTTGGCATCATGTCTTCGTCACCAGGAAAGTACTCGTCTTCTTCTTCTTCGTCGTCTTCGTCGTCGAAATCGTCAAACTCCTGTGAGTCGAGCATCTGCTGGTCGCCATCGCGGTCGGTTGATTCCAGTCTAGTAGAAACTAGCTCAAGAATCTGAGGAACGGTCTTCCCAAAGGCAGCATCGGCGATGTCGCTGAGGGCAGCAGCGACACTAGCAGAGGCATTGTCGGCACCGAAGATCATGCAAGTGTGTCTAGTGGGGTAATCGGATACTTCTGTGTAGTTTGTCAGCTATGTTCAACCAAGGCAGCGTAGGCATGCTGGTTGACCGCTGGAGGCGCCTTGCTAGCCCTTCGAACGCCGACGAGGAAATAACATACCTGGAACCAAGGCTGAGATCTCCAATTGCTCGCCGTCTGCAATGCACATGAATGTGAACTCGCCGTCGTCGCCACCAGCGCGTACATTTGAGATGCCCGCGATCGAGACGCCATCCGCGGCCTTTTGAAGGTCGGCCTGGAAGTGCCGCCTCGGCATGTTGGCGCGCTTTTGATAGCTTGCTAGATAGTGAGAGCCAACAGGTTGGTGTTGTTACGGAGTGGTTGGCATTAATGTAGGTGCGTGTTGGATTGAGGCCGGTGGTTGAGCGAGCGGGCTGCGGCGCAGTGCAGACCGGTAGTAACGCGGAAAGCTCCAAATTTGTAAGTCTTGAACAGCTGTGTACTAGGTAGTAAACAGGTGAGTCGCGTTGATAATCGTGTTGACGCACTTTCCCTGTTTGTGCGAGACAGTAATCACGGAAAGGCAGTCACGCCCAAGCTAGCGATGAAGTTGTGGAAGAGAAGAAATAGAAAAGCCAAAGCGATTGGCGGCCCTACCTGAGCTCAGATTGCTTCTACAGGTTCTTGGCAGACTAGATGGCCTGTGAGACGCTGCCTGGCGTCCGCGGATATCAGTCAACGAGAGAGGTGAGGGTGCAGGATAGCGCCTGTGTTGCCTGGAAAGTGGAGCTTGACTGAGCCACTCAAACGCAGGCCGCAGCTCGCAGAGGAGCTCTTCCAAGGATGACCAGCTAGTCATTCAGCGACCCTTTCTGATATCATTGACACAATGATTTTCTCTAGTGGAAAATTGCAGAGTCAGAAGAAAGACGCACTCCAAGATATGGAAGATGCCGTCATAGCCCCTCCCCCACAATTTAGCTATGCGGGAGGGAAACTAAAGGTTCCGAGCGTTCGGCTATTCCCTGCAACATTCAGGAACGCCCGCGACATCTCCTAGTAATCCCGCGATCGCCATGGCCGTGTCTGAAGAGAAGACGACGCCCAAATCAACACATGTATCTGATCCCGCGCTTGCTCCTTTCCTCGAGCCGCGCTTCGATGCCGCCGAATACCTCAACGCCACGCTGCCTTCGCTATCGCTAGCTTCAAGGCCAAAATCGAGTAATGCCGTCTCGTTAGCCGACCTCTCTTCGCAGACACAGGACCTCCTCTCACAGCTCAATGCGCACACGACGCGATTATCGGCCATCTTGACACAGTTGACCGATGACATTCTACGGAGCGGTGGGCGGCTGGCGTACGAGGTGGAAGTGCTGCGTGGAGAGGCTTTTGGGCTTACTGAGACGTTGACAGATGGGCTGAAGGGCGATGTCCAGAAGTTCATACCAGGCGGGATCTCGATAAAGACAGAGTCAACCGGAGATGAGCTCAAGAGCCCTACTACATCGCAGACAGATGCACCGGATGCGCAACCGTCACAGCCAACGCTTGAAGAGCCCGATGAGACAACGCCAGAATACATCTCGGACCTCCGCACCCTCGCCACAGTCCGCTCGCGTCTCGAGACGGTTATCAAGGTTTTTGGCGAGGCCATGCACTGGTCAATACCACCGTCCGAGGTCTCCCTAGGTGCTTCGCTCATCAGCGTCTCCGCCCCCGAGCCTGGCACAGACAGCGCTTCGCGCGAACAGAAAGGCAAGGAGTTTGCTGCCTCGCTACGAACCGAGATCGCCGACCTCATCACCGGCGACCCAGAAGGTGGCATGGAAAAGGCGGAGATAAGGATACAGGCTTTGAGAGACCTAGCGCGGGTCTGGAAGGGCACAGCAGAGGAGAAGGCGAGAGCCAAGTTCGTGGAAAGTCTGGTCAAGCTGGCAGAAGACAAGCAAAGAGAACTCGATAGAGAAAAGGAGAGGAACAAGGACCGGGGTCAGCAGAGGCCAGGCCGGAGTGGCAGTGTGCCAAAGCAGCAGCAACCTCAACAGCAAAGAGGCGGTGGGTTCTTAGAGAATCTTCAAAGGATACGAGGCCTTGTGGAATGAAGAATGCATGCCCTCGCTCATTGTAGATCACTTCTTGAAATGTGCCGTCACGTGAATACGCGTCAAATCGTGTCGATGCGAGAAGCTACTGCGTTTACCAGTACGTAGATGGATGGCTGTTGCTGTTTGTTGCGCTAGAAACCCCCTCTGACTCGAACCGCATGGTTATGGAGCCTATCCACAGGTGTAGGACATTGTACACTCTATCAGCGCATCACATAGCTTGTACATCGAAGGTCCAGCTCAAGTCGTGCAAAGCGTCTCTTTTCATTCAACGTAATCTCGTAGAGTACAGAACAACAAAGCCCAATGGCGCACAAACATCCTCCACAACAAACATGCCTCGCCTATCCCAGCCCTACTCCTAGGCTACGACGGATCCCCCATAGGAGTCAACCCTTGCGGGAACTACGACCCTGGGTTCACCTTAAGCCCAAGAAAGAGGGCACAGGGCGGATGCGGCTACCAGAAAAGTACAACAAGAAACGCAAAAACAAAACATTGTCGAGATCCAACACGTCCAAACGCCTGTCCATATGCCGGGGTATCATAAGCGACCGAACTCCGAAGTACTCCAAATCTCACTAAACGCGTAGGGGAATCAAATTGAGGGGATGGCCTCCAAGACAGCCATCGCACGTTGTCCCTCTGCTTCAAACGCCATGATTTGTCTCTCGCAGGCCATGCGCAGTTTCTCCTCGCCTCGCTTCGCGTTGTAGAGAACCCATTGTTCGATAGTCATAGACTTCTCATGATCTGTCAGACCTGCAATGACTGCGTCGTAGGTCTGTTCAGGTGTGGAGCCAGCGGTCTCGATATTGTCCAGTCCGGCATCGATGAGAATGTCCTGCATTAGACCCTGGGCCTCTCCCTGAGAAGCAAACAGCATGTCTACGTCGGCAGGCTCCCAGCCATGAGTGTTGCCCATATCGTCAGCTTCGCTGTGGGGAGGTGGGGTCCTCTTAGGAGTGCCAACCATGAGATCAGCAGGAAGGCTTGACATGTCGAAATCTGAGTTGATGTTGTCATGCGGCTGAGTCGGTGTCTTCTTAGGCGTTCCAACTGGCAGATCGCTTGGGAAACTCTCGATGCTCGAAGATCGAACGCGCTTCGGTGCTGGTTGTACATCCTCGGAGAATTGTGTGTCCTCCATCGTATCGCTCATGCGCTTCTTGCCTCGCGCAGGTTGTTGTGCCACAGAAAGTTCTGTGTCTTCCATAGCATCACTTGTGCGCTTCTTGCCGCGTGTGGCCTTCTTGCTGGTAGTGGACGCGGTGGATGAGCGTGCTGACGGACGCTTAGCTTTCGAGGCGCGTTTGCCTTTCTTTGCGACAGGAACGGGTGGGTTGTAGATATCGGAGAGGGTATAGAAGAGACACTCGGGTGAGCGTTTACGGTGCTCTTGGTTCGGGTCATCGCCAATGTCCCAGGCGTCCAACGCCAGAGAACAATATGGACATGTAACGCCGTCTGGAGTTTCGTCGGAAGGGTCATAAAACCATCCAGCGGCGACCATTTGGTCTACTGAGGGGTAGCCAGCGCTAGTGTCCAAAGGCCACATATTGCCAAATGTGTCGCGACGCGCCGCCACCATCGCGTCAGATGTTGGGTCCTCCTCAGTCCTGCCTGGATCACCGGCACGCAGGCGGATGCAAGCGATGACTGCAAAGCCGCAGCTAGGTGAATGTGTCGTGTGCTCATAAGCGGGGATGTCTGACTCCTCCCAGCCGTCGAGTTGGCACTCGCAGCTGAAGCATTGTACATTGTCTGGGCTGGCGGTAGTTGGCCTCCAGACAAAACCAGCAAATGCAAGATCTTGTGCCGAGGGTGATGAGAGTGGCCATGCGGCTGCCTTTGACTTTGTACCTGCCTTTTTTGACCTGCTGCTTGTCCGTCGCGTCTTGGTTGTCGTTGCTGCTCCTCCAAAGGTCGCGAGACGCGCCTGGAGTGATGCCAGCGCGGCGTCCATGGTGTTCGACTGTCGTGAAGATCTTTTGTAATGTTCTTATGTGCTTTTTCCTTGTGTTCCAAGAGCAGCGGCTGAGTTACCACGCAAATAAAGTGTTGCTGATGTGGAGTGGTGTGGGATGGGTGGGTTGAGAGGAAGTCGCGTCTTTACGCGGTAAGAGGGACCGGCGCAAACATCTGATTGCCAAGGCTCGTAACGGAAGCAACCGCGCTTACGTCATCCACCCTCTCACTTTGCGCAACCTCAGGCATCGACATCTATACAAGATGTATTTACGCCAGCCAATATTCCGGATAGCGTGGTGCAGAAGGCCTCTGGTTCAGTTCAATCGCCGTTTCATCTCATCCGAAAAGACTGTACCCGCCGACAAGCCACATGCATTCCAATCGCTGCCTCCAGAGTGGGAGGATGAACCCCCTTCGCTTGAGGACTTTACACAGCTACCACACAAGGACTTTGGAAAGAACCAGCTGATACAAACGAACGAAGAGTTCAAGCGATCATTACGAGGCATTCTCCGGCAATTTCCACCCGTCACCTATGCGTTTGCCTATGGCTCCGGTGTCTTCCCTCAGTCAGCTGCGACAGCTTCGCGCACATCGCAATCCCCTCATCCGAACGCGCCCGAGGCGATACTCAAGTGGCAGAAGGGCGGCGGAAAGATGATAGACTTTATCTTGACACCTCGGTTCTCGCAGCACTTCCACTCGCTCAATCTGCGCGAACACCGAGACCACTACTCTTTCCTGGGGTCACTCGGTTCAGGGGTCGTCAGCCATGTGCAGGACAAATATGGTGCTGGTGCCTACTTTAATCCATATGTGATAGTGAACGGAACTATGATCAAGTACGCTGTCGTCAACTACGAAACTCTCCTTCGCGATCTCACCGATTGGGACACCCTCTACTTCGCCGGCCGCTTACACAAGCCCGTCAAGATCCTCCACGAAGAGCCCAACCTCCGTGTCGCAAACCAACGTAACCTCCTCTCTGCCGTACGATGCGCGCTTCTTCTTCTTCCCGAGAAGTTTACTGAGAAGGAACTATATTCCACAATCACTGGCTTGAGCTATCAAGGCGATCCGCGTATGCAATATGGCAGCGAGAACCCCAAGAAGATTGACAACATCGTCACGCACCAAATACGAAACTTCAGATACCTGTACCACGACCTCATAATGTCACTACCAAATATCTTGTACGCTGACGACTCTGCGGTACGCACGGCTGGATGGATAGAAGACCAGGGCCTCGATCAGAAGATGTCACAAGACATGGATCCTGAAAGGCGCGCCACTATGATTAGGCGATTGCCCAAGAAGTTCCGTGAAAAGGTCTACTTCCAATACCGCGGCAAGTTTGGCATCTCAGGCCGCGATTATCAGGAAATGCTGGAAGCAAGCAAAGACGAGTCTTCTGGAGGTATAGTCAAGAGGCAGGTTGCTGGTGACTTCGACAAGCGGATTGCCAGAGAGAAGGACGTTCCACAAATGGTCACCAAGGCGATCAACCAAACTGTGAAGTGGCCTTCGACTGTGCAGACTCTGAAGGGACCTCTCACCGCGGGCTTCTCCAAGTCGTTACGCTACCTGCGAGAGAAGAGGGAGAAGGCGAAGATGAAATGAACCGGAGGCTATTAGGATGTTGACGTTCGCTATTCAAGACATGATTTCCTTTGTACTATCATCAAAAGCGTAGAGCAAGCGAGTCAAAAACAGTATGTCTCGAATTGTAATCGCGTATAGCCGCCGTTGTGCATCTCACGGGTCAGGCTTTGTATAAGCGGAAAAGCGAACTTAGACTTTGTACACAATTTAAATCATCAACACACTTGGTCTGCCTAAATATCGAGAAGTTTGTTGTCACCCACCAAAATTATTACACGCTCCTGAAAATACAATGATTGTTCTGCGATGCTCTCAGCTTGTTGAGGCACTGCTGCATGTTGTCTCCCCACCGTTCTCCACAATCTCCACTTACTGCTAACCAACTTCAACAGGCCCACGTCCACACCGTAATTTTGGATCTGGACCTCACCACAATGGTTTCACTTGTTTTTGCTGTTTCTGTTTAATCATGAGTACAATGTGGATCTAATTCAACGATTAGTCATCAAATCATCAGTCCGATAACCGGCTCAATGGTGTAAGCATTCCCAACCATCGAGGCAAAGTCCACGACTAACATCCAATCAGCTAGTCGTATGATTCCTGCTTTGTAAGCTCGCCAACATGCTACAAGACGAGCAGTGTCCTAACAACACCAATAGGGGTTCCCAAGCTTAAGTGCAGGAGGTCCCGGGTTGTAAGTTCAGAGTTCGATTCAGGCCTCCATCAACCACTAACATGTGTTAGCAAATCCCGGTTGAGCCCTGATATATCTTCCTTTTTTGCTCGATTTTTGGGCTCGATCTAGGTCTATAGTAGACAAAGAGCGTCGGGTCTATTTCCTTTTTGTAATCATGTGTCATATGAGTGAAGTCTTGGTAGGTGATTGATAACATTGAAATCGCATCGCCGAGGTATCTTGGTATCCTACAAAATCCAAAAAGCCTGACCCTAAACAAAAGAACTGGTATCATCGCATTATATCCAATGTCAACAACCCCAAACGCCAAATACAATCAGTGTACTGAGCCAACACTCATCGACCGCGCCGCGGCCACTCAACCTCCAAACCACCGCTACGATCAATCTCCCTACCCTCCCTCTCATCTCTTCTTACACTCTCGCCCATAACGACAGTAGCAAGCCGCCTCAATACCTCCTGACCAGTGATTAGATCGCCAAGGTTACCAGGCGCACAATCACCCATCTGGAGCCTCTTTCCAGTGACCTCAAAATACTCCTCTTCATCCTGCAGACTCAGAAGCTGCATGAACACGCTGCACATGACAACCAGCTCCTCGGTCATGACCATGCTGTAACCCCAGGCGTGGAACGTGGCGCCGACGTAAGGTAAGTTTCCGTTCTTGGATATGAACTGTCGCAGGAGGTAGCCGTTGGTATTTGAAAGTGGCGTAGGGGGAACA